TCAGGCAATTTTGACAATTTTTCATTATTCTATGCACTATATCAAAAATTCCGAATATTTATGACGACCACTGTATACTCTCTAAAAAACACTTTTTTTTTGAAAACCTTAAAAAACATAATCATTTATTCCGCACTCCTTTCGATCCACACCCGAACTACGCATTAATCATTTTAAAAAAAGATAAAATGAAGTTTTTACAGCGTTGGCTCTCTTGATGGCGGCTATTTCGTTAAACACCCGTCTCGCAACCATCCGTAATCCAACTTGAAGAAAAATGATTTACCTGATTCTTATACTTGCTCTCAAAGTCAAAGATCATGCACTATTAAAATATTCGAATATTCGATTGCATATAGTCACGGTTTAGTTGGTCGAGAAGTAATCGTAAAATTAGAAGAGAAGCTGCTTCCGCTCTAGTATTTGGTGCTTCCCCACCGAAAACTTTCCTCGTTAATTCTAATTTTAAGACTAATAGTAGCAACACTGATGATTGCAATGACGTCAGCTGCAGTGATCTTCTAGCAAAAGCAAAAAAGGAAAACACGGAAAAAACGGCGATGATAATAAGAATGGGCGATAAAGATAATAACAATCCCAATAATGATCAGCCTGATAATTCCGATAATCAGCCTGGTAATACAGGCAATGAAGGCGCTGCTGACGATCCTCTAAAAGATGAAGGATTTGACATTGGATATCACGGATCAATTGAGATAGACGGACAAACGTTTACTGTAATATCCGACACTGGTTCATCTGATCTTTGGATGCCATCACAAGCTTGTGCCGATGCAACTTGCAAAGCTCACAAATTGTATGATCCAGGAATACTCAGAATGGCTCTTGATCGATTAAGCACACAAAATTTAAAAGCATCTTTCAATCAGCTTCTTGTCAAAAATGCAGTTAAAGATTCAGTATTTTGTTACTTCCTCGAACGTCAGAAAGACGGCAGTAACAGTCAATTAACTTTGGTGGTGTTAACTCTTCAAAATTTACTGGTCAACTCAATCATCATCACCACCATTGGATATATTCCGGACTACACCCTCTGATGACTCCGATCAATAGACGTAATCTATTCCTCTATACCTCTTCAGAAAACCCTAACATCCCGATCGTGATGATAGCAACTATACATACCTGTTATATATACTTCATCCCTTCAAC